CCTTTTGCATGTGGAGACTGAGATGTCTCTTAGACATCCAGGAGATGTCCATCAGGCAGTTGCATATGAGTGTGGGGTTCAGAATAGAGGTCTGCTAAAGATATAAATTTGGAAGCCACGATCAGCCATTCTACTCTAAAGTCATATAACAATAGGGCTAAATATATTGAACAACTGCTATGTCTGCAGGTCTGCTGACTATTCCAAAAACCCTGGTCAGATAATACAATCGATGTGGAAGTCATTGTGACACAAACAATTTCTGTACATCTCTCCTGGGTTGAGATCTGAAATTTCAGGTGCATAAAATAGTTAATACACTTTAAAAATGGTTTTTTAAAAAAAATTCTCAAACATAAATGCAAAACAAAAGGAAACTCATAAAAGCCAAATAGAAAAATCCTGAAAATACAAAAAGATGGTCATCTAAGATCAATTATATACTTTTAAAATTAATTTCTACTGCAGAATAGACAAAATTGATGACTCCCTCTCAAAAAAAGTACTACTAAATAAACTAAATAATAATGAATACATTTGATTTTAAATCTAGTACAACTTAGTACAGTACAGCTTTATGAAAAGCATCATGGCAGTTTTTAACAGTAAATGCTATGTGCAGGCACTGAGTTAATCACTTTATCATATATTATTTAATCCTCACTCTTGTAAGGTTGTATCCATTTTACGAATGATGAAACTGAGATTCAAAGAGGTTAGATTTGTAAGCTCATATGGTTAGTAAGCACCAATGCAGAGATCTAATTCCAAATCAAAGATAACTACCCGCAAAATTCAAACAGCACAATTTAGAAGTGAAATCTGAAGAACTTATACTAACCTATTTTACTTTCAAATAAAAAATAGTATTTCTTTTAGAAAAGATTCAATAATTCTAAGTGCCCAACATTGTAGAGTCAATAGATCCTTTGTAAAATGGTTGCTGGAATGCCATCTCTTTCCTCTTTCATTATAGGTATGACTTTTCTTGCTGATTTCTGGGCAAGTTGATACTGATGATTCAATCAAAAAACAGGTAAGTAATTTAGTGTTGGTTTTTTGTACTTTTGGATTTTATCTACAGTAATAATTAAGTAAAATAATACAATATTCTGTGAATAATTTATTAAAAATTTATTTCATGTAATAAATTATACAATTCATTTTTATTTTTAAACAGTCTACACCAAAAATATTTCTGGAAACATTTTTTCCTTCTGGTAAAACATACAGTGAGTTTGTATATGAGGCTAACATCAGCTTCATATTCTCATGGCTAAAATCCCCAACAATTACACAGTTAAACATAGCCTTTCTTCGCATTTCTCTAAAAGCTGAAGTTGACACCATTTGATAAAAGCAAAACAGTATAAACATTTCCAGATTTTGCCTAAGGCCTTAGCTTAAGGTGCAGAATATCAGGTGGGAAATTACAAAGATGTATTCATTTTCCTTAAACTTACCATATTACATGTGTACATATCACAATGGCGAAATGAAAGTAAAAAGTAAGGCACAAAAGGATGCAGTGGGTGTTAGACCTGTTTACTAAAATTGGCCATAAGAGACACAGAACCAATACAACGTGACAGACAAGAAAAAAAACTGTTTACAGAAACTTTTTTTTTTTTTTTACTGTTAACAGCATATTCAATTGTTATCAAATTATTCAGAGGTTATGAAACTTCTGAAATGACTAAACTTCTATGTGAGGAAAACTGAACTTTTTTCAGTTTTTTCAAAATAAGGCTGGTCTTATAAATGTAAAACATAACAAAACCATTTAAGGGCTTGGCAGAAATTAGTACGTCTTAGAAAGTGGGAAAAGAAAACTCAACTTTTATATGCACCAAATGTGTAAATATTCCAAAAAATTTCTCTGAGCATAACATGAATGATACTCATCAGAGTTTTGTTGTTGTTGTATTCAACTGTTGGTTATTTTCCTCTATGAAAGGACAATAAAATTTAATTCTCAGGATGAGCTACTAATTCAATATTAAAATATTATCACCAGTAAAAAAAATTACCTTTAATTTAAATTTTACTAAAGTCTATGAAAGCTGTAGTCTAAAATAAAAGCACATTCTATAGCTCAGGCCTCAATGACATTTCTTATTATGAGGTGGCTAAACAAACAAAAACAAAGTAGAGTTATGTGCTGGGTCATAATATTAGATAAAAATTAATTTACATTTAAATTTGTCATTCTGTATATCAAGTACCTATTGGCTGAACAGAACTGTATTCAATAATTTGTACTCTATAACTTCATTCAACTAATACAAAAAGCTAAACAGAAAGATTTATAGTTGAACACCAGGTTCCTAAGGCTGGTATCACATATCATTCCCTGACAGAGAATTCATCGGCAGAGGACCTAAGAGCAAAATTTAGAGTTTGATTTAAAACACCTTTCTCTGCCATGTCTATAGGTAACACATTGCATAGTGATCAAAAGAATATTTTGTGTTATTCAATTTACTTTCCTGGGCAGACTACCAGAGCCCATTGACTTTAAAAACCAAACTCCAAATTTTACCTGATAGTCTTAACAAGGATAGTTGGATCATAGAGATAGAATAGGTCATCTTAGGCAATAATTGGAAATGCACCATCCATTGCCCCTGTCGCAGTTCAAAGATAACAAGGGTCAATTATGAGGCTTACCAATCAGTACTAGCAATTGATAATAAATAATTTTATGCAGAAATGGGAGAGAGTGAGTAAAAATGACACTGGGTTGGGGGCAAAGAAAGCCTAAATATACAGAACCTGCAACATCCCTTCAAAAACTCTTGTAAATTTTATGACTTCAGGATCAAATTTTAAGCCAGCAGGAATAGAGCCAGAATTCTAAAATCACTGAAAAAGAAAGGGTTAATAATAAAAACTGCAGCTGATTTTATACATCAGGAACGAAATGTTGTAACGTATCTATCATTCACATGTGGGTTCATGTAATTTATCTTCAATTAGAATTATTATCTATTCAGCAGCTGAAGCCCAAGAACTGCTGATACACTGCAGATGAGAAAACATTTGCTAGTCTCTCGGCTCTGGCCTTTCTTAGGCTAAATGATGATCACAACAATATAGATCACTTGTTCTGTAAAACAATTTTGGCTTACTATATGTATAGCAAGCTGCACTGCCAGCATTTACATTTGCAAAATCATTTCATTCCCTTTCTTAGACTCCAGAGGTTCTGTTGCAACTCTTCAGCTTTACTGGTTCTGCAATTCAGTCCCAAATTCACATTAAAAAATTACACAACTTTTTAATCCAGAATTTATTCCTTTGAAATGACTACTTATCGCTATTCAAATTTTTTTAAATGTTTGAACTCCAAAGATAAAATAAATACATTCAAAATAAACTTTATGATATTTATAATTATATACTTTATCTCAACACAGTCTTGATTTCCCAGGTTGCCCAGCCGGTGATCAAAGTATTCTAACTGACACATTAAAGGAAGTAGTATGTGTCTGAGCTCATGTTTACAAATGGTCTGGGACAATGTACAATGTCACCAAAATACCAGGGAATCCCTTTCTCATAGTTTACACTGCCAGATCAATGAGAAAAACATAATCTAGACATCAACATAGCATTCTCTATTGTAGTGTTTTGAAAGTATATTCAATGGGTCATTAATAAATATTTCACTTAAAAAATGAGTTCCTCTTTAGATAAGGAAATATTCAAATTGGTTCTTTACTGAAGGAATTTTTACAGCCTTTAATATGCCAACAGGCAAGTTTGCAAAAGCAGTTCCCAAAATTATTTGTACACAGACCCTTTTCCCCACATGAGTGTCTATTAGGAATAATGATCCACAGGGCGGGTTTTGAAAAACACGGTTTTGGCATGGTGGTGTATTCAGAAGCTTCACTAACTCCTCAGGCTATGAGACATCAGTCTATCTTAAAATTAACAACAAAAATAATTCTTAGAGCCAGTGAGTCTGGAATTTCAGACTCATAAAATGAGCATATGGGCAGGGAGGAAGGACTACACCTGTTTATCACACTATAGTCGTTTTCACCTTCCTAGCAAAAATATGCACAAAAATACCCATGTTAGCCCATCTTGACTGTGCACAGCACTTGAACAAACTAACCAATATATAAGGGCTGCTTAAAACAAAAAAAGTAGAATAAAGTTTTCACTTGCCCAAGTGGAAAAATGCAAAAGTGCCATACAAAACAAGTTATAATGACATATTTAGTAACTGGTGACCCTGGTTATCACTTAAGATTGTCTACATAGCATAGTTTGGTAATATTTATAAAGCTATCTTCTTTGAAGTACTACTGAATAATTAAAGTTGCTATGAAAAACTTCTCTTTATTCAAGGGGTTCATTCCCTTTACAGCAGTGTTTCTCAGCCTTAGCACTACTGACACCTGGGGCTGGATAATTCTTTGTATTTAGGTTGTCTTGTGCGTCATAGGATGTTGAGCAGCACTCCTGGCTTCTACCTTCTAGATGTCAATAGCATCTCACTGGTTGTGACAACCAAAATGGCTCCACAATCTGAGCGAGAGGGAAACCCCATCTCTACAAAAAAATAGAAAAATTAGCCAGGGGCAGTGGTGCACAGCTATAGTCCCAGCTACTTGGAAGCCTGAGGCGGGAAGATCGCTTGAGCCCAGGAGTGTGAGGTTACAGTGAGCTATGATGATGCCACTGCACTCTACCCTGGGGCAAAAAAGCAAAACCCTATCTCCAAAAAAATAAAATAAAAGGCTCCAGATGCTGCTTAGATACAAGCAAGTCATCCCCAGTTGAGAACCCTGCTTTTGGGTCAAAACTAAAATTTATACTTTGACTCTGCTTCCCTGGGGCATGTCCATTTCACAGGCATACTGCACTTACACACCTCAGCAAACATCTAGTAATTAGTAGCATTAGAGATCTTTCTAAATTCTGTGTGATCAGAAATATAAGCAATTTGTGGTACAGAATGGCTAGGAGGAAGCACTCTTCATTTCCAAGAGAATCAGAGGTAATTTTACTGTCATTATATTATTTAATAGTAAGAATTATCTGAATCATGATGCTTAATTGACAAATATTCTAACAATTAGAAAAATGCTAATTGTATATTATAACCTGTTAAGGATCATAAGGATTGAGGCAGTCTAAGAATAAAAAATGTTAACAATCATCAATAGCTAGGTCAGACCACGGTCTATTCCTTGACTATTCACCACACGATTTTAAAAACTGCTTGCTTGTACTATAGCCTCATCATTTCTTTCAAATGATCAAGAAGAAACCCTTCACACGTCATGAAGAAGCATCCTTGTATGTGTCAAGAAGTACATTATCTAGTTTTAAAGCCATTTCTTCAATAGCCACATCTTCAGTTTGGTCATAATTGTCAACTCCAGATACATCACTATCTTTATTTTGTACTTTTCTTACTGTCTTTAAACACTTGTCAAGTCTCTTTATGAACAAGTCCACATCCTGCATCTTCATTCCGATGGCTGAAGCAGCATTGAGGTAAGCACAGGGGTAATTATTTGTATGCGACATAAAGCCTCTGAAAGTGTAGCCACTCACAGTTTGCACAGACCCAAGAGGCACAACCCTGAAAGGGGAAAGATTTACCAATTTAATATGTCTGGTGATGTTAACAGAATGTCACCCATAAACAAAAGATATGTTACCAAGATTACATCTACTCACTAAGAAGTTTAAAAACAGCCATAAATCATGGCCTATGGAAACAGACAGTGTCAGCTCTAAAATGAAATTATATAATACACTGCCATTTTATAAAGAAAAGTCCTGCCTGGTGATTACCACTTACTTACCTTCTATGAAAGAGCTACAAGCTCTAGGAATCTCAAACACCTTTATATCTTTTTCAAAAAGGTAAAAATAAAATTATTTGTTTTTGTGCTAAATCTGGAATCTGACTTCATATATATATATATATATATATATATGTTTTACTGGCACATTAAAACTTGCAAGTCAAACCACTTTGGTTGTCATGTGTCACCTCAAATAATCAACAAGCTAATATTCCAACTATCTGATCAGTGCTATGCAACAGAAGGTTTTAAGGCAAAGATCAGAAGAAATCATGTAACTGCTTAGAGTGGGGTGTGGTCAGCAAATGGCAACATTCAGCAATGGCACATGCATTATTTAAGGTTGATTTTACTGGCATATTTAGATATAAGCAGATTTCTTGTCTTTTACGTCTTTTTTAAAGTCAAGTAAGCTTGACCTAAACATAAACACAAATAGTGGCAGCACTAAAAGCAAGATCAATAAAACCATTATAGAAGTGTCAAAACTATACTTTATACAGATAAGATTTCATCAAGGTAAAAAGTTAATTAATCTAAGACTTTTCTTTTAAAAAGCTGTCCTTTTATAGAAGCACGTAAAGAAAAGTATTTAGAGACCAGGCAAGGTGGCTCACACCTGTAACCCCAGGACTTTGGGAGGCCAAGGTAGGAGGACCACTTGAGGCCAGGAGTCAGACACCAGCCTGGGAAAAATAGCAAGACCCTGTCTCTAAAAAAAAAAAAATAATGAGAAAAATTAGCCCGGCACGGTGGTATGCCTGTAGCCCCAGCTACTTGAAAGGCTGAGGCAGGAGGATCACTTGAGCCCAGGAGTTTGAGGTTATAGTAAGCTATGATCGCACTACTGGCACTTCAGCCTGGGCAACAGAGTGAGACCCTATCTCTAGGAAAAAAAAAAAAGAAGGAAAGAAAGGGGAGGGAAGGGGAAGAGAGGGGAAAAGGGAAGAAAGAAAGAAGGGAAGGGAAGAAGGGAGGGGAAAGAAAAGAAGAAAGGAAGAAGGAAAAGAAAAGAAAAAAGAAAAGAAAAAAGAAAAGTACTTAGAGTAAAATGTGTCATTTCCAGTTATTTTGCTTTGATCTCATCAAATGTAAAATGAAAAATGAGATTCATTTTCATGTCACATATACTAAAGAGGGAAAAGGTACATTTTTCTGAGGCAGTACTTAGGCAAGAATTGTATAATCTTTTTATTTTAGGAAGTAGACTTTTCCTTAACATTTTCATTTGAATTTTGTAATGAAGATGACTTATTTCTAATACCATAATGTGACATCACTGAAGATCATCTAGCAAACGAAATAAAGACTAAAATCTGTACAGAGAGGTAATAAAACTTTGTATGTCTATTAAAACAAACAAAATTCATATCTTTCTGTGACTATTTCAAGCATACACAGTCCACAGGTGGGCATATGATAGCCTTACAGATTCTCTCCCTTTTACTCCATGATGAACAGTATAGTTCGGCATTATACCTGGGGGACTATTGTTGAGGAAAGGTACTTTATTAGAGTTAGCTTTGAAAAGCCAAATAAATGCAAGTCTCTTTTTTTTTTTTGAGACAGAGTCTCACTCTGTTGCCCCGGCTAGAGTGCCGTGGCTTCAGCCTAGCTCACAGCAACCTCAAACTCCTGGGCTCAGGCGATTCTCCTGTCTCAGCCTCCCGAGTAGCTGGGACTACAGGCATGCACCACCATGCCCGGCTAATTTTTTCTATATATTTTTAGTTGTCGGATTAATTTGTTTCTATTTTTAGTAGAGACGGGGTCTTGCTCTTGCTCAGGCTGGTCTCGAACTCCTGACCTTGAGCGATCCACCCACCTCAGCCTCCCAGAGTGCTAGGATTACAGGCGTGAGCCACCGCACCCAGCCGCAAGTCTCTTTTAAACATGCTTACCTGGCTCCAGAAACCTGTCTGGTAAAAAGCATTGAGCCAAGTTGAGTGACAGCTTTGTCATGGTATTCATCTAGTGTTTTAAGTGTCACAGCTGAAAAAGAAAAAAGTATCCCAGTAAGTCTTGGTTTATCAGCACAAAAATGACTCGAAAAACAATGATGAAGACATTACTTTTTATTCATTGTCAAGTGGCACAATTTCACTTTAATGCACTTAATAAACTACAGGGATTTGTTTGCATATCCGACAAAAAAAATGTAAATTAATATGTTCAGAATGAGAATTTCTATATCCCCATTCCAGAGACTGAATTTTTCTAGCTAAATAGATGGAACAATGACATGATCAGTACAGCTGTTTATTCAAATTCAACCAAGTTTTAAGAACTTGTAAAATGAGAATGTGGGATATATTTCAGCACACGTATAAGGCTAAGTAGATCACCTTCTGCATATGGAAATGGAAATTGCCATCCTGAGGCTGTGTGGGTAAACTAGTCCACACATACCGCTACTACTAGCTGCCATTCACTGAGGACTGATTGACCATGCCAGATACTTTAAAAATGTAATCTCAACCAATGTTTTAACAATTTTACATGTGAGGGATCATTATCTCTATTTTATAGACAGGGAAAAGGAGGTTAGAGACTAGTACATAGCAGAATTGGGATTCAAACAATATAATATCACCTTCTATAACATCTACATAGATTATAAATGAGCAAAGGACTGACTCATTGGGATGGTTTTTATTATATTAAATATATAGATGCCCAAATGCTTTTCCATAGAAGCCCATTCCTGAAAAAGGCTTCAGTTACAATTGATTCACTTTCCTTACTTTCCACAGATAAATGTGAAATATGAAACATATTACATATATTCACAAGTTAAAAGGGATAATTATGAAGCTTAAAAGTTAAATGTGTAAAAGTCAACATTCACATTTTTCTTTTTAGTAGCCGTTATACTACATGACAAAAATACATAGTCCTTATACAAACAAATGGAATTACCATAAATACAGATTTCTTGAATATGGAGAGGCTAAAGAAAATAAGCAATGACAGCATTAAAAACAATATAAGAAAAGCTTTAATTTCTGATATGTTGGTGTTTTGTTAGTTAACTGAAGAAAGTTTTAATTATTTATATAGAGTCCTTGCTTCTGATTAGAAGACAAAGTATTATGTTCTATGTATTCATTTTAATACTTAATATTGATTCAGAGTTCCTCAGTCTATAGGTTTTATGTTAGAAATACATTAAAGCATTTCTAAAGGCTATCTAAACTTTTTCAATTTACAAATTAATATTGTAATGAATTTAGAAGTATTACTGTAACCAGAAAAAGTTCTCTCTCTTTCTAGGAATTTCAGCTTCCTCCTAGGGATGAAATTTTTTTTTTTGAGAAAAAAAAATTACCTAAAGATATAGGATTATGAGGTGTATGCAATAGTCTCTCATTGTAGGCTTCTGACAACTTCTTTAGTTGGTTAGACAAATATGAAAACATTTCCTGCAACAACAAAATGTCACATTTAAAACAAATCGAAATATTTACTGTAACTTGTCACACTTAATAGGACAAAATCTGATTGGTACGAAGTCTGTACTGTAAATTAACTCATCCATCTGCCCTATAAGCAATTCTCTCCTTTGCCACAACATAGTGAAATTCAAAGCTGCCACGACTATCAGAAATCAGAGGATTTGGTAAAGGCAAAGAACCACATTTCCTAGCTTGGGCTATTAAGTAGCTATCACAAATCCATCTTCTTCTTAGAATCTCCAGAGCTACCACTCTAGTCCAGGTAGCCATAAACCTCTTGCCTGGACACAGCGATAGATCCTAAATGATTTCTCTGCCTACTCTCTCACCTCTCTACAATCTATTCTACACGCAGAAGCCAGAGCAGTCTTTCAAAAGCATAAAACAGATCATGCACCTCCAGGATGACTTCATCCTATAACTATTAAAAGACCACATTCTTCATCTCAAGGCCCCACCTGATGTGACCCAGCCAATATACCCAACCCAGGACTGTCATTTCCCCCACTCACTAAGCACCGCCACATTAGCCTCTTTTCCAACTGTTCTAGTGTCCAAATCTTTATGCCTGCTTTCCCTGCATTTCCCAGATCACTCCTTGAGTGGCCCCTTTTGCCACAGTCTATAGAGACCTTCCTTTGTTACCTCCCTATTAAAGTAGCTGTACAGCTCTGCCCACCCCCAACTCCCAATCTCCTTCCAATACCAATACCTATTTTGCTTCCTTACCACAATCTGAAATTATCTCATTTATTTGCTTAAATCAGTATTGCCTATTACTACTTACTAAGATGAAAAAATTCCTTGAAGACAGGAACTGTCTGCTTTACTACTGTTTCCCCAACATCAAGAAAAATATGCCAGACTTTGTTATGCAAGGTACTTAAAAGGTAGTTTAAAATGTATTTCCTTTAAATCACACAAAGGTAAAATTAACAATTCCCTTCTCTCAATTAAAAGAATATAGCAACTCCAGTAGTTCCAACTACTTGGGAGGCTGAGGCAGGAGGATCACTTGAGCCTAGGAGTTCAAGGCCAGCATGGGCAACATAGAAAGACTCTACTTCTTTAAAAAAAAAAAAAAAGAACATAACAACTAGAAGTAAAAATTGTCCTACTCTGAAAAATGACGTATATTCAATAGTAGAAAATATAATAAAACTATGTTTTATAGGTACAAAATGTCGCATGTACATAAGTGGCCGTTTAACAAAGTTACAAATAAATACTAAGTTGACAACTATTTGAACTAAAATTTTACTTTCTTCTCCTCATAAGGCCTTTAAAAAGTGCTAAAATGAAGTATGCCCAAGTATGTCTGTAGCTGAACAAACCCATTTGCACTGACCTCCTCCATCCGCGGTCAAAATATAGAAACTCAGCCAAGGGCTAACAGAGTACCCAAGTGGAGACAGCAGGAAATGACACTTCAACTTCAAAGGCCACAAAACCTGCTTCTGTTTTCTCCCAAAGGTACGGTTTAGAGACTCTGATCCTACACTGGGTCCCAGAGTAGCTTTTTCATGTCTAAAGCACACAGATGACTAACTCCATCTTTTGTTAGGTAAAGATTGAGAGAAAAGGAAAATTCCTACCAGGTTTATGAATTATTAATGAGTCTACTGAAGACCACATTTTTATCCTTGTCAACACAGTACATATATTTTATATTCTGACCTAAAAATTTTAAACTAATAATCATTCTTAAATCTTAGGATATTTTATAAGATTAATTCTCAATGTATTACAATTAAGAAATCTTAGATGGATCACTAAAATAAATGGATTCTTTTTATGTTCAAAAAGTTAACATCCACAATTGTCATATCTAATGAAGCTATCAATAAATGTTACTGTTAAATATTATAAGCCTTTCTCTTTTGCCATTAAAAAGGCAACTAGGTCACTAATTTAAATGTTCCACATTGTTTAAAAAAAAAGCAGTCACATATTTTCATTTAGATATTAAATGCCAATTTTTCTTTATCTATATTATTCAACCAAAGTCTTAACCTGACTCTGTCTATCTAATTCTCTCCTACTCCAAATTCATCAACATCTCATAAGCAGAAACAAATCTGATAGCCAGGAAATGTCTTCTACAGACCCCTACATTTTCCCCCAACAACAACAAAAAAACCCACACCCATCCTTCATTTATCCGTAAGTACACATATTCATATATTAATGAAGCAAAGTTTTCTCCAATTTACATATTTCAGTGATGAAGACCAATTTAAAATATTATTCTTCCTAGTTTGGCTGCCACATTAAACACTGCCATGGTCACATTTGTAGAATAAGAGGAACCTGATGAGTATTTAATTTGTACTTGAGTTAGCTATTTCTGAAAAAAGGGAAATGTTTCCTTAGTAACACCCCTAGAGGGTGCTTTTAAACTTACTGATGCATACATGGCTATTAAAAAACTGGATTTGCCCAATGTTCAATTTCTAATACTTTAACAACTTAGTTTTAACCAGTTCTATCAATCACTTGCTAATGTCACTAGGATTCAGTTTCAACTGCAGCTAACATTAGCATAGATATTTTTAGACTATAAAGATAATACCAAGGTAACCAAATATCACCTATCACTAACATGGGAATAATTAAATTAAAAAAGAAAAACATTTTGAATCAAGTTCACATCCATCAGCAAATATTTATAGTATCTCTACTCCGTATAAAGGTTAAACCAATGATAGGTAAACCAATTAGCAAGGAAGCTTTAAATATCTTAAAGCACAATATACTGAATTTTATAATATACCATGTATTAGGTCCTAAATGCTCTCCTATTATTATCCCTACATCTTAAAAATATTATTTGGAGATTATACCACTATCCTACACTAATACTTACCTAAGCAGTTTTTTACCTGATATATTAAAGGTACTACAGAACCTGCACTATTTTTTGCTACAGTGAAATCTATAACTGACATTTATTATAAAATACTTCTGTAAAGAAAAAAAATTTATAAGCAACCCAAGCAAATGTATATAGAAAGATCTTACTTAAAAGAAATGAAATAGTATTGATTTTCTATGTCCTCTGTGCTGTATTTAACTTAATTCTAAAAGACTTTTCACTAGAGATAAACTGAACTGTATACCTGAATGCTAATGTCAGCTATATTTCTAGAATAAAAATACAAAACTTTACACCATAGCTCAAGAAGTTAATGGGAGAGAAGTTAAATTACATTAAGCATTATCTTTCATATGGCCTTTTGCAAACTGATTTGCAGTCATGAAACCCAACATCTAGCCTATCTCTCCCCAGAATCCAAAGATGTACTTAATTCACTTAATTTTAAAGGAAAAGGTCTTATGCAATTATGTCTTTTGAAATGCACTGTTTCATGTTATAAGATGAAATGGAACTTCACATATTATTATAATAAGTCTCACAAGATGAGTAATAAATCAAAAGGGAAACATAGTCTAATATTTCAATGAGAACATGAATGGATGGATTAATCATGAATGGATGGATGGGTGACAGACTGTAAGTAAATATTCAAGCACACAAATGTCCATATTTAAGGAAAACAGGATAAAATATGATATGCTGCTGTCCATAACCGAGGCCAGCTGAAAGGATCCATGCCTAGTCGGCGGGCCTTGCCTCAGAGGCAAAAGCACTGAACTCAAGCTGTTGAGGCCCCATATCTGCACCTGAAATCTGCCGCTTCTGTGGAGATTCAACAACTCCACTTTTGGGGCTGCAAATCTACTAATGTTTCCAAACTTAGCCCTGTTATAAGGATACTGCTTGAAGTTATGTGTTTGATGTTCTTTTAGAACTTAGTTTGTCCTCCAAGCTTCAGCTCACAAATTCCAGCCGCTGGAGCAGCCACAGTACTGTCATTCCTCTTCTGCACTTGTCCAATTCAGCAGATACTTGCAACAATAAATGATTACCTGTCGGCCCTATTCAGCAAAGCACTTTTCTAAAAGGAAAGCTAAGCAGAACAATGGTTTTGTCCAGAAGCAAAACAGAAATGTGGATAAACTTCCAAGACTGATCTTTCTTTTTGCATAGAGAAATTCAAAGAAACAGGCTCTTACATTTTTAACCCCTTTTCTTGAAGGCCTCTTCGGTTAAATTCATGGTTATTTCTCCTCTCAATGAAGCAAATGTGTTGATCAAGAAGGGGCTAAGGGCAAAGAGGCTCAATGCACACACAGAGTTCCACTCTCTCTGATCCTTTCACCCTTCAAAAAGGAAGGCTTGAGAAGGAATAGCTTCAAGCTGAGTTCTTGTCTGCCTCTACAGTGAAAAAGATAATGCCTTTTCTGAAGAGATATAGCTAGAAGAAATAACCTCTAAAAATATCATTGTGGTGAATAAGGGCACAGAATAAAAAAAAAAAATCCTAAGTTTTCTTTTAACACTCCTTTTTTAGTATGCAATAACACCAATAATATAAAAAGGAGTTCTCAGTGATGGTATATAAATAGCTTAGGCTGGAGCAAAATAGCTTTGCCTCAGCTTCTCCAGAGCTGAACCAATAAACTATCACGATTAAATTTTCACAGTTCAAAAGCAAGTCCATTTAAACAAAAGAGGCCCTTACTTCTGCAAAAAATCCAATAAAAAAAAATATTTATGCTACATATATGCAATTATGGTTTATGGAAGACATCCACATTTTTCAACAGAAAGACTTGCCTATTGAACGAAGTTATTAAAGAGCAAACTTTTATTCACTTACAATAACAGAGTTCTCAAATGAGCATTTTAATACTTGGAAAATTACTCTTCTAGATATTCTTTAAGTAAGTTCTATACATAGAATTTTAAATGAAACCAATTAGTACATTAGAGAGCCTTTGGGGTTTTACATACCTCCCCAGATAGAGTGGAAGGGTCACGAGATCATCATCTTTATGGCCCAAATGCCTAGCACAGAGTGAGTAATCACTCTCTCACCGATGGATGAGAGACTGGAAGCAGT